TCCCATTTGAGTTTGGTGGACTTCCAAAGAAACCCAGTTCCTATAAGGGGGGTGGGGACGTTCCGGGTACAGTTCCAGGGGTTTGAGGGATTGCTGGACTTGATAGTGGTGGAAGGAAACCTGGTCAGTCTGTTTGGCCGGTCCTGTTTTGCGCCGCTGGGCATCACGGTTGGAGTCGGTGGGGTGCGTAAATGGGGCGGTGGGGTGCTTAAATGTGGTCTGAGGGATTTTTCGGAGATTTGCAGGGGGTTCCCGGCTGTTTTCGATGGGGCTTTGGGTTGCTACAAGGGCCCCCCCAGTTTCATTACAGTTAGACCCCCTGGTGGCTCCTATCCGCATGCAGTTCCGCACAGCTCCACTCGCCATCCGGCCAAAAATTGATTCGGAGCTGGACTATTTGGTGGCGCAAGGGGACCTGGAGCCAGTTCCACATGCTTTATGGGAAACGCCCATCGTGACCCCCCTCAAGCCCAACGGCAAAGTCCGCATCTGTGCGAACTACAAATGCAAAATTAATAAGGCCCTCCACAACCACTCCTACCCAGTCCTGGTCGTTAGTCATGTTCTGGCCTCGCTAGCTGGGGCTAAGATTTTTGGGAAACTAGACCTGACACAAGCTTATCAACAGCTGCCGGTCGACGAGGCCACGGCTCAGACCATAGTCACGCACAGGGGGGCCTTTAAGGTAAAGAGGCTACAATTCGGCGTGAGCGTAGCCCCGGGGATTTTCCAACAACTAATGGACTCATTGTTAAAAGGGATCCTAGGAATGATGCCGTTTTTTGATGATGTCTTGATTGCCACAGCATCCCCCGACGACTTCGCCTCCCGCCTCCGCGCCGTCCTGCAATGTTTTGACTCGGCTGGCCTCAAAGTGAAACGGAAGAAGTGCCTCCTAGGGGTTTCGGAGGTGGACTTCCTGGGGTTCAGGGTAGACGCTACCAGCCTTCATCCAGCGAAGGACAAGGTGAAGGCCATCATGGAGGCTCCCGCCCCCACATGCAGAGCAGAACTACAGGTGTTCTTGGGACTAATAAACTTTTACCACGCCTTTTTGCCACACAAGGCCGCGGTAGCAGAGCCCCTACACCGGCTCCTGGATAAGTCAGCCCCTTGGATCTGGGGCCTGAGGGAGGAGGAGGCTTTCAGAGGGGTGAAAGCGCTTCTAATTTCTAATTTCGAACAACGTTCTAGTCATTTCGATGAATCCCTCCCGGTTGTCCTTGTGTGCGACACCTCTCCCTATGGCGTCGGCACAGTGCTCGGCTATGTCCTCCCTGATGGCCACAAGGTTCTCGTGGCCTACTACTCATGAACATTAACAGCTGCAGAGCGCAACTATGCACAAATCGACAGAGAGGGGTTGGCTATTGTAGCAGGGGTGAAAAAAATTCACAACTTCGTTTACAGGCGCCCTTTTACAATTGTAATGGACCATAAGCCCCTCTTAGGCTTTTTGGCTGCCGACAAGCAAACGCCCAAGTCTTGTTGCCCCGAGTACTCCGGTGGTCACTTTTTCTGGCGGGCTACCAGTACCGCTTGGAACACCAGCTGGGCCATGCTGACACTCTAAGCCGGCTACCGCTGCCTGTCGCCGATGCTGATCCCGCTCCTGCACCGGGGGTCCTGCTTGTTAAGAATCTTCCGGAGCCTCCGCTGCATGCTGCTGACATCACGGCCTAGTTGACCCGAGACCCGCTCATCTCCCGGGTCTTGGGCTGGGTGGTGAGGGGTTGGCCTGCATCTGCCCCAGGGGCTGAGTTCACAGCTTTTAGCACCCGTAAGGATGAGCTATCAGTGCTGAAAGGATGCCTCCTGTGGGGAGACCGAGTCGTGTTCCCTAACACCCTGAGACAGCAAGTCCTCAGGGCTCTCCATGAGGCACACCCCGGCATAGTGAGGATGAAAGCCCTGGCCCGGGAATCGATGCCGAGATTGAGTCTTGGGTCCGGAGGTGCCAAATCTGCCAAGAAGTCCAGCCCAACCCGCCAAGCGCACCTACGCAGTCATGGGAGTCAACCCTGACACTAAGGAGGGGTTAGCTAAGCAAAGCAAGCATGTGCAGCTGCACAAAAGTCAGGGATGAAAGAAAACAAAGAAAGCATGGCAGCTAGCTGACACACAGCCCCAGTCCTTCACAATGGGCTACCAAAAGAAATGTGGACAGAGCCATTTTTGTTGTTGTGTAGAAAACATTGCAAGGCTAAACTGTTTGGAAGAGCTTTTTGGTAGTTCACTGTTGTTTATTGTTACTGCTGCATGTTGGCCATAAAAAGAAGGTCTTCTGTTATTTTTGGATTTTGTTAATACAATGTGGTAGTTCCTGCTAATTCCACAGAGAGCTAACTGCCCTTGTCCTTTGGCCTGACGCCTTCCCTGCCTTCCAGCCTCAAAAAGGTGGGTGGAGGGAACTCCCCATCGAGTCCCTTCGTCCCTATGGTTCTGCGGTATGTGTTCAACAGATGTCACACATGCTCTCCTTCTCTGCTGGTGTTCAAGGCTTTTTTTTTATCGCTCTCTGCCTCCCATCATGCCCTTCTTCCCTTTCTGTCCCTTTCTTCCTTAGGCAGTACGTCTCCTCTGATGATTCCTCTACTCCCCTTCCTCTGAGTTTCTCTGAGGTCTATGGCCTTTGCCCCTGCCACCCCACCCATACTCCTGCAGGACTTTGCCCCAGACCCAGAAGCTTCTGTGGTGATGAGCCCTGCACCACACATCCATTTGTCCTCTTAACTGGGGGGACAGTGCACCAGTCTCAAGCTTCAGTGTCAGTGCCAGGGCCTGCAGCATTTTGGCTGCTCCTTGCAGCTCAGGGTGGATGCAGGGCCGGCTCGCTCACTAGGCGAGCTAGACTCTCGCCTAGAGCACAGGGCCATCATGGGGGTGCCAGATGGAGCGTGGGAGGGGCACCGGGAAGTGGGGATGCGCTTTCGAGAGGCACCACCGCCCCTCGGTTGGATGTCAGCTGCCAGGCCCAGTGCGGACTGCTCAGTGCTGCGCAAGGCCGCTCCCCACCTCGTTGGGAAGCCGAGGTCGGGGACGATGGGTCAGCGAGGAACAACACTCAAATGGGATCCCCTTTTCCTCCCGGCCTTCTCCCCATCTTCACTCCTATTCTGAGCCGTCCGAGAAGTCTCCTCCAACACTCCCCCCTTCTCTCCCCTCCTCCACTCCACATTAAACGGGCCTTCCACAATCCGCCCGTTGTCATGCGTCTGGCTCTGAATTTGAATCCTGCGGTTGGTGGGAGATGTGTCTGTCTCCCCCCTCCGGTCCGCCCCCTTTAACCCTCCCTATGCTGGAACGGCACCCGCTTTCCCTGATAGGGTGTTTCCTCCACCAGCGATCTCTGGGGGATGCTACCAAAAATAAAGCCGCTGCCACCAGCAAGAGGTACCCGGATGCCTAGGTTCCCTGCACGATGCACCCCATTTCAGGAAGCCCCCCTCCCTTGGGAAAAAGGTCGGACGGAGAGTTAACAGCAAGCGAGAGAATCACCCTCTTTCCACACACCCCCCAAAACTCTGGTCGCCACATGCTAGATCGCAATCCGAGCCTGAAAGAGGCTGTTTTGACATGCAAGATATTCCTCCCGGGGGGGGGGTGTTTAAGAGAAGCCAAGTCCTTTCCTCTCCCCCTTAGAAAATGACCCCCCCAGCAATTTTACTCCTTCCTTCCAACTATTTGCCACCTTCTACCAACCTCTATAGGATAAAATGGATAGATTGGGGGGTTGCACCCATGCTTTGCATGCACCCATTGGGGCTTTGATCCAGGCAAGTGGATCCAGGCAAGCCCCCCGCCCCCACCTTCTCTCCAAGCCCTGCCTGGAGGTTGGCAACCCCATAATTGTTGGGCGCAGGGGGGGCACCAGAAGGTAGCCTTGCCTAGTGTACAAAAAGACCTGGAGCCAGCCCTGGGTGCATGACCCTGGACATACAGTGATTTGGGGGTTGATTTAGGGGGATTCTTTGTTTGCTTTGCTAAGATTGCTTTGAGTGATCATTGTTTTCAGAAAAGTGGTATATAAATATTAAAAATAAATGAAACACTATAGACTGTAAACTTGCAAGAAATGTTTACACAAGCATCGTGGTTTTTTACAAATACTAAAATGTATTACATTGAATGCATGATGTAAACACCTGGCAGGTTGAACATATTAGGGAATACAACTACCGTAGTTCAATATCATATTGTGTTTTATTTTCTACTTCATTTATATCCAAAGCAGCTTACATGGGTCTCTGCCATTTAATTTTCACAACAACCCTGTGATGCAGGTTAGGCTGAGAGTGTGAGATTAGCTTAAAGTCACCCCACGAGCTTCCATGGCAAAGTAAAGATTTCAGACCTGGGACTCTCAGATATTTGTACGTTTTCTTGTTAGTAGAGCTTGGAAAGAGATGAAATTGGGGTTCTAAGAATGAAAGTAATCCACCAGCTGGAAAACTTACACTTTTACATTAAAATAATATAAACCACAAGACTATCCTTTTGAAGCAAACAGGTGACACAACAAAACCAAATCTTCCATCTCAAACCATTTCAGCTGTTCTCCATCAAATCCAGAATTTCTGAGTACATCCGTTGAGGAGCATCAAGGCCCCAAATGAAATCCCACTGGTTCCAGTCAGGCAAATACTTGAAATGAATGACATTTTTCAGCCGAGAGCTTAACTGTTCTGCTTCCTCTGGTTGGGAAACCCAGTCCTGACCTCCAGTCCATATTGCTACTGGGACCGTGATGTCTTCTATTCTATACAAGGGAGGAATGGTCTGGGAAAAAAGGCAAATGAGAACATAATTGATATATTACTACACACGGTGAATTGGCTGTGAAATTTCAGGAGAAGCCAAAGGAGGTATAATAAGACTAGCAAAATGTCTCAGGAAAGTTCCACACATAACTGTATATGTGTGTTTGGGAACCAACTATGTTGATTCATCCTAAAGTTAAATTTAAAGTAAATTTGGAAATGGAATGTCTGAGGAAATTAAAGTAAACAAGAAAAAAATTATGTGCCCAAATTCAACCACCAAAAAGCCAATGATATATAGATTTATAGAGATAACATACACATTACTCAGAACAAATTTTCCTATGATACAATTAAATAGACTAGGGATATGCATTTGGTTCGTCTGAACCAAATGCCCTCCCGAAAATGGCCCATTCGAGCCCCTTTCGGGCTGCAGGCCGATGCAGATTCTCTGGATCTGAATTGACTTGCTGCCAAATTGCCGCCGAATTTTGGTGGCAATTCAGCCCCATTATATCCTATGGGCCATGGAAGTCAATGGCGAAAACATAGGGTATATTCTGGGGGCTGGAGGGGAGGGGGTTTGTGGGAGAGGCTCCAACCTCACAGGATAACTGCGGGAGCCTCTCCCCAAGATACTCACCACATTTCAAGAACATTGAACTAGGGGGTCCAATTCTGTGGGCCCCCAAAGAGGTTGCCCCATCCCCTCAATTATTCTCTATGGGGGGGGGGTGAGGGAGAAGTTCCAAATGTTCAGGGTAGCTTCAGGAGCCTCTCCCCACATAAACCCCCATGTCCCAAAGCAATTGGACCCCTCTTCCCCAGAGCCACTAACAGCACCCTGGGGGGAAAGTAACTTTTCCCCCACCATAGAGAACAATTGAGGGGATAGGGGCAACCTGTTTGGGGCCCGTAGAATTGGACCACCTGGTCCAATGTTCTTGAAACGTGGTGAGTATCTTGAGGAGAGGCTCCAGCAGCTACCCTATGAGTTTGGAGACTCTCCCTCAAACCCCCTCCCCTCCAGCCCCCAAAATCTTTTCACCATTGACTCCAAAGGCCCATAGGATATAATGGGGCCGAAACTGACATTCGGCTGGCCAAAAGACTCACGAATCCGCTGGTACTGCCGAAATTGACATGCGGGAGTCTTTCTGCCAGCCAAAATTGATTCTGCCCAATTCAGCCGAATCCAAATCAGGCTGATTTTTTTTTTCCGCACACCCCTATGCAGGAGTCTTTCTGCCGGCCGAAATTGATTCTGCCCAATTCGGCCGAATGCCAATCGGGCCGAATTATTATTTTTTTGCACACCCCTAAAATAGACAGGTAGAAATTCACAGGTAAAGTTTTTTCATAAACATCTTTGTAATAATTAAATTCAAAAAAAGGCCTTGAACTGCTAGCCGACTTGATGGACCCCCGGTTATAAATCTGTTTCAATCATTTTTTTCAAGAATCATGCTGGATTCAGCATTTTATAGATATGTGTAAACATCCACAAAGTATATTCAGACGCAGCAATCTTCAGTGATTCCCAATGGAAATTAAAGGAAAAACTTTGGATATGAGTTCCCACAGAAAATGATATGGCTTTGATCTGTATCCATACATGTGTGTACAAGGAGCTTCTTGCTTATGGAAGGATCATTTTTATTCCTCTGTGGGGCAGCTTAAATCAGGGGTTCCCAATGTGGTGTCCAGGGGTGTCCTGGCACCTGCTGACACCTTTTTTGGTACCTGCCAAGTATTTTGGGGAAGTGGACAGGGCCAGGTAGAGCTTCCAATTGGCTATTGGAGATTTGCTTGGCTGTGCAGATTTTTTTTTTAAAAAAAATGTTGCTTTAGCAGCAGCTGCCAACACAGCACAAGGATCTTCACTGTGTAACTGAAGTAATGCTGTGGCAATCATTTCTTGGCTGGCTCCACCATCTGTGCCAGCCATTTTGTATCTGCACTGACCCTGCTGTGTCAGAATTCTAAAAATGCCGGACTTCCGGCGGTGCGGCGCTGCGCAACGGGCGCGTCCCTTGGGAGCTCCCAGGGCAGCCCGACTCGCGTGTGCTTCTACGGAGCCCCCCGAGGTTCGAGGTGGCCCCGCTTGGTCTCCTGGAGGGAGACCAAGAGCATGAGGCTTGACCGGCCCCCCCGTTTCCCTGGCAAGGAGGGGGGTGGCTGCAGATGTATGCCTTGAAAGGTTTATTGGTGTCAATGAGTTTCTTAAGGTAATGTTTGGCTAATTGTGAAACGGAATGAAATAATGGAGATTATTGTGGGTGAAGGGTATTGGTTAATGTCTGTATGTGTATGTGTATGTTCTTTAATGTTGATGTAGAAAACCAATAAAAAATAATAATAATAAAAAAAAAGAATTCTAAAAATGCCCACAGGCTCAAAAGGTTGGGGACCTCACTTAAAGCTATCGGGTGATAAGCATATATTATGAATAAAAGATCTGTAAAACTCTCTAACTCTCAGCAGGTCAGTCACATGTGGTTATTGGAGGGAAACAAAGGAGACATATAGCAGGGCTCCTTGAACATTAAAGAACTATCAAAGAAACCAAAAAAAATCACAGCTTTGTGCACCCTTAGTTTAAAATACAAGATTCATTTAGAGACCCCAATGTAATTTCATCTCCCTCCAAAACACAAACATAAAAATCTATACACCCATACCTGGTTGTATTTCTCTATGTTCTCTGAGCCATAGTCAAAGTACCTGGTTTCTCGTGTTTTAATTAACTAGAAAAATAAACACACACAACAGTTAAGTACATGTGTTGCACCCTCACAATATCACATATATTTACTACATAACTGACAATTAATTTATATGACTTTTGATTTTGCAGTATGTTTGTTTTGAAGGAAGTGCCATTGACATTTTGTTCATAATAAAGAAATTGCCTGAGGTCTCTGTCTTTAATCCTCAAGAAGGGTCCTGCTAAAATGGCAGACCATGATCAAAACCTTCAATGAAGAGCTTGACATGATCATTCCTAGGCTGAAGATCTCACGCTAGGAAAATCTTCCTGCCCTTCCATTGCTTTGCATAAGAATACGTTTCTGCAGCATGTGCCCCTGCAAAGATAGACCCCATGGTCCACCCACCCCCTTCCACCACTCCCAACAAACCAATCACAATGAGACACAAGCTTGCCTCAGTTATGAAGCTCTCCTATTTCTCCACAACAAAATCAGCAGGGGGGCTGAATGCCTCAGTAAACAGGCATTGTGGATGGACTACTTTTACTTGCAGTTACTAAGTCTGGTTAAAAAAACCCAAAAACTGTTCCATAAAACCTGCAACCTTTTTTTGAGCCTTTTCCCTCAATGAGGGTGGCTGGGGTCACCTTATTCCAGGGGCTGTCAAATCAGACTCCTTTGTCCAAGGCATTTGAAACTTAAAGAGTATTAGGGGGGATGCTATGTTCCCTCATATTTTGATACCATTTAGAGGGGGGAAATGTCCTCACAGGAAAACTGCCATTTTCCTCTCAAGAAATACAACAGGCAGATGGAGGGGAAAAATGGAACCTGATGAGTCTTCATGATACAACAACATTTCCAGGAATTCTTAAAACCAATACACCTTGCATTTTTAAAATTACAATATGAAAATTGAAATGATAATTCTTCCAGCACACATTCCTAAGATTGCTTTGTTCTGCAATTTCAAAATCTAGCTCTGTGGCACTTAGGGTTGCCAGCCAATGACTGGCAGCCATCAGGAGAGAGGGGGCGGGGACAAGGGGGCATCGCATGAAATCACTTCTTAGAGACATCTGGAAGTAAGGTCACATCACTCTAGGAATTGATGAAAACTCTATAGTAAAACCACAATGCTGGTAACTTTTATAAAAGTTTTTTCCCCATTGTCACACTAACTGCTGATGCATGGTTCGTATTTACATGCATTATTCTCTGATTTTTGTAATCCAGTTTTATTCACTGTGGGTTGTATGTTTTACACAATGCACTGTTCACGATTGTAATATTATACTTGTGTAATACCCCTTGAATCTCAGTGTGAAAAGCAGGATATAAATGAGGGGGATGGATGGATAAATAAATAAATAAATAAATAAATAATGAGCTGAAGCACATTTTCCATTCCGGCCCTTTAGGTCAGCGTGTTAAAGAGATAATAATGAATAATTATTGTATGGCATTGTGTGTAGTATAGCCAGGAGATCCTAAGCTCTGTGGCACTTAGGGTTGCCAGCCAATGACTGGCAGCCATCAGGAGAGAGGGGGCGGGGACAAGGGGGCATCGCATGAAATCACTTCTTAGAGACATCTGGAAGTAAGGTCACATCACTCTAGGAATTGATGAAAACTCTATAGTAAAACCACAATGCTGGTAACTTTTATAAAAGTTTTTTTTCCACTGTCACACTAACCGCTGATGGGAAGAAAGGTTTGTTGGTGGGAGATCTCCCACCATAGCAGGAGACCTGGCAATCTTATTTGCATGGTTCGTATTTACATGCATTATTCTCTGATTTTTGTAATCCAGTTTTATTCACTGTGGGTTGTATGTTTTACACAATGCACTGTTCACGATTGTAATATTATACTTGTGTAATACCCCTTGAATCTCAGTGTGAAAAGCAGGATATAAATGAGGGGGATGGATAAATAAATAAATAAATAAATAATGAGCTGAAGCACATTTTCCATTCCGGCCCTTTAGGTCAGCGTGTTAAAGAGATAATAATGAATAATTATTGTATGGCATTGTGTGTAGTATAGCCAGGAGATCCTAAGATTTTCTTGCAGTCTGAAGTTCTAGCTCTTTAAGTGTTATGCACCACTAGGTGGTGAGCTAGACTTATTTTGGGAGCTGAGAGAGCTCTGAAAGAACTGTGACTGACCCAAGGTCTCTCAGCTGGCTTCATGGAGGGGGGAGTGCAGAATTGTACCTGGTTCCCCAGATTAGAATCCATCGCTCTTAACCACTACACCACATGACTGAGGAGAGATTTCCACTATACCTCTATTGCATTTGTGCCATACCTGCAAATGGATATAAGGGACACACTTCATGTAGGTCTCTTCAAGATGATTTACTAGAGCCCTCAGTATCCACTGACTGTTCATGAAGCATTTTTATTGCATCACTTGTGTCTACCCTAACCTGGATTAAACAGTTTTTACCCCAATTCCTTTGAAACAGGAACTGAAATTTGCATAGAAAGTAAAGTTGACAAAAATGTCTTCTGCATTAGCCCTAGCATCTTTGTTGCATGTGTTTAAGAAAGGGTTGATTTCTTTTGCCATGGTACCTAGTGGTGTGGTCAGTTCAACCCCAAAGGCCTTTTCAAAAATTATTTTACTTAATTTTATGTCTAATAAACTCCCATATCAGATCAGTTTGTACAAGGACAAAAGGAGAACTGGATTCTGAACAGTGAATTCATCACTGGTGGCAGAAAGTACCATCAGGTTGCAGCTGATTTATGGTGCCCCTATAAGGTTTTTAAGGAAAGAAATGTTAAAGGTGCTTTGCCATTGCCTGCCTCTGTGTAGCAACCCTAGGTTTCCTTGATCGTCTGTCATGATCTGGGCTGTGCCACCAGAGGCCTACTAGGCCCAGGGAGCCTGGCTAGCAGTTGGTGAGGCTGGACCTACAACTCCCAGAAGCTCCTGAGAGGTTATGGAGCCAAAATTGACCAATAGGAAAAGAGGAGGGCTTGGAATAAAAGATCTGGTGCAGCAGGAAAAGCTGTTCTTCTTCCAAAAGGGAACAGAGCCAAAAGGAAGCCTGCTGCAGGGAAGAGACCCTCATCCTGAGGGAAGGGTGAGTAGTCTAGTGCCACTTGGAATAGGGAGCTAGGGACAGTATATATTTAGATGTGTTAGGGCATTTGATTTCTTTTCTTTTCACCCACTTACTGTTATTATTCTGCACCTTGTTGTTTGACCTCCTATACAATAAACTGTTTTCCTTGTTGTACTCTGCCTGGTCCGCATGCCTATTATTCGGCCAAAAGGGAGGTCTGAAGGTCTTGGGAGGGTGCTCTGGGCCTTCTCAAGGGAGCCTGGAACCAGAGTGGTGGCAGCGTCAGGTGACACCCCACCTGAGCCGTGACATGGTGGCTGTAGCGGTGGGATGAACTAATTTTGGACCCTGGTGAGACAGAGTGCCATTTGGCCTTGGCAGAGAAAAAAAATATATTATTATTTTGCTTTTGGGCTTAAGGAAGCCCCATTGTTTGAAGGTGCTTGCAAGACCAAGTAAGGGTCTGGTAAGGTGTGGTGAAAAGGGTTTCTTTATGTTCTAGCTGTTGGGTCAACTGGATAGTGAGGCAGATAGTGCATGTTCCTCTGATCTGGGACACGCCTGTTACCAGACTCTGCCTGATCCTCACACGTATTATTCGGCCACAAGGGAGGTCTGAAGGTCTTGGGAGGGTGCTCTGGGCCTTCTCAAGGGAGCCTGGAACCAGAGTGGTGGCAGCGTCAGGTGACACCCCACCTGAGCCGTGATATGGTCTCCCATCCAAATACCAACTAACTTCCAAGATATGGTGAAACTGAGGTACCCTTGGCCACCCAGGTCAGGAAATTTGTCACTACATGGATTTATTTCAGTGTTTTTTCACCAAAAGAGTTCTTTTTTCATTTGAAACTAAATTGACATAGAAATATTTCTTCTCTTTCATTTATTTTTAGTGTTCCATTTCCTTTTATTCAGTCTATGAAAATAACATTCTGAATAGGCAGATGTTTCTGAACATAGGCCAGACACTATGTCATTCAGTATGAGGTTCCTATCAAATCAAGAATCTAGAGCTGCAGGACACTCTTATTCTTTTCTCATTAAAAAAAAGGAAAGTTATTATATTGTACTATTAGAGGAAATATAGAGTCAGTGTGGTGTAGTACTTAAGAGTGTTGGACCATGACCAAGGATGCCTGGGTTTAAATCTCCCGTCTGGTTTTGCTCAATCTCTCTCCTTCAGCCTAAGCAACCAAATGGGATTATTATGATTATAAAATGAGGCAAAGCTACTGAGCTCCTTAGATAAAAGAATGGATAAAAATCGAATACATTAATACATTTTATAGGCAGTCAGATATTCAGATTTGTTCAAGAGATACATTTACAATCAGTAACTCTACCTGGCCCCAGTGGATTATTTGCTTCACAGAAGTATAATCTGGAAATAACGCTGTATACACATCAACCCGGCTCTATAAAGAAAATATTATTTAGAAAAAATTGCAAGTCATATGACATTTTTATGACGGGGGTTGTGTGAAGCAGCAACAGGGTATTAGCTGCTAAGCTAAAAAAAAGCTGCTCAGGGAATCTTTATCAACTGGACCATTTTCACTGAGCAACAATCTATACAGGGAAACATTCATTCATTACTGGTTATGGGATGAGTGTGAAGTAAGCAAAGTTACCTAGCTCTTTTGAGAATAGTTCACAATGATATCAAAGTCACCAAGGCTAGCAAACACTGATGGTCCTATTCTCCATGGATTTGTCCAATCCCTTTTTAAGGGCGTCTGTGTTTGGTGTCATGGCTACATCTTTTGGCAAAGTATTCCACATTTTAATCCATAAGTATTTCCTTTGTCCATCCTGAATCTGTTGCTCATCAACTTCAATGGTGCCCTTGACTTCTACAATTTCAGAAGGGGGGGGAGTTCTCTCTAGCCACTCTTTCTGCCTCATGTTTATTTATAAACCTCTGACATGTTCCTAGTCTGTCATCTTTTTTCTAAACTGAAAAGTCCAAGGCTGAGTTTAGACTGGCAGTTTGGCCCAATATCGGCACGTTTTACAAATGGATTAAAGGGGCCAGTTCAAACAGCCACAGCTTTCAGGCATTCCCCAGCCATACTCAACGCGTCCTATGATGATTCCCTATTACATTAAAAAAGTACCAGGTGAAAGCCGTAGCAAACCCTGGAGGGCGTGTTGATCCCGCTTCCCGGAAGTGTACACACTAAAAGCCGCAAACAAGCAGCATTGCTGCGGTGCTGCGCCTATGTGCCTATGTGCATAGGAGCATGTCGCCGGAGTGAAAAAAAGCCACTTACGGGCGTGCCTCCGCCAGGGGCGGGCCAACAGTGCGAACGCTCCTTTGTGCCTCCTCCCCAGTATGCTCCCACATCAGTAAGTGCAGTGCGACCGAGAATCCCCGGCACAACTTGGTCCGGGTCTTTTTGCCCCGCCTCCCTCATGCTTCATACTGCCAGTCTGTCCTCAGCCCAAGGTTCTTCAGCCTTTGCTCATAGGAAAAGTGATCCCTTAATCATCTTGGTTGCCTTCTTCTGTACTTTGTCCTACTCTGTAATATACTTTTTGAGATAAACCCCTTATTATCATTCCCACCAAAATATATTTTAGAGAGATTGCATATCATTTCAAAAATTACATATTTTGCTGATGCTGCAAATCTCTTTTTACAACATAAAATTCTTTGCTTTGTGACAATTTTGCCTATATATCATAAAATATAGGATAATATAAAAATACTATCAATAACAGAGTTAGCAGGAGTCTCTGAATAAAAGCAAACTAAATTGCTTTTGCAGGGGAAATTAAAAAGGTTCTGCAGTAACCAAGGACAAACTAAGAGTCACTCTTCTGCATTAATTGGTCGCTATTATGCAAAACATAAGGAACCACCCATCTATATTAAAAAAGCAATTAAAATAATAGAGAAGAAAACAGATTGTCATGATATGATGAAATAAACAATCCACTTTAAGTGTCAAAAAAGGGAGAAAGTGATGTCTTTATGGACTTTTGTCTTCCTCTTGAATTTTGAATGGGAGTCTCACATGTTTGATCATTGAAAAGCTCTCCCAATGCTTAAGAAAGAACCTATTCAGAATAACAGGTTTTAAACTGAACCAACCACCCTGCAAAATTCTTTTACATCCCTAGTCAAGACATTTGCTTTTTCTGACTGCAGGTTGGTCTTCACAATCATATCTCCTGCCTTTGGCTCATATAATTGTTGATGGTAAAAGAGCTACATCTGACATACTCTTGAAAAAGGCCTTAATTTCCAACAAGAGAGGCATCCACACCCTTCAATCTCTGTACCTTCTATTAGTTTATACACAGCACTAAAAACGCTATTTTTAAAGAATGCACAAAAATACCGTATTCAGATTTTTTTCATTGAATCCACCAACAAGAAAAAGAGCTTGCTTGCAGAGTACATCTATCAGTTTGTAGCCGCATGTTCGGGACACAAACGCTCTCAGTCTTGGGCTCAGCAAACTTAATTCTTTTGTACCGAATATAAACTGCAAACAAAGACATGAAAAGGATGATTCTTCCCACTTTAATTATACGCTTACCTACTCAGAAGAATGTCGCACTATGTTCAGTGGCACTTTTGTACCGAATATAAACTGCAAACAAAAGACATGAAAAGGATTATTCTTCCCACTTTAATTATATGCTTACCTACTCAGAAGAATGTCCCACTATGTTCAGTGGCGCTTACTGCCAGGTAAGTGTGCACAGGATTGCAACCTAAATCTCTCAAACATATCTCTTAATTCTTGTCAGTAATACATAATAGCTTTTGTTTAATTATTTCAGATTTTATTTCCCTAGTGCAGTGGTGGCAAACCTATGGCACGGATGCAAGAAGTGGCACTCAGAGCCCTCTCTGTGGGCCCCCGTGCCATTGCCCCAGCCAGGCCCAGACCATCATTAAAGTGTCGAATTCTCTGCCAAATAATTTTAAGTAAATGAAAGCATTTGGGATTGCTTTCCTTACTTTGTTTGGATCATCTTAACTTAATGTATGAGTTGTTTTTTCTAAAGTTGGGCACTTGATCTCTAAAAGGTTCGCCATCACTGGCCTAGTGCAATGTTTTGATGTTCTCTCAATACACATACACAGTTGCATACAAAGGGGATTGCCACTCTATTTTGGTGTTTGGGTGAGCTCTGAACTGCTCAAGTTGAGCTGCATTTAAAATTGGCTTGAAGGTGGGGGGGACCTTTATTATCAATGCTCTGTATACATGTAGGAACTCTTGTAGGCACAAGGCAACCACTGGATCAGATGCACTCTGCCTTACACCCAACAAGGGTGTAAGAATGGAGGAATGGAATGGAGAAACCTTGGATCAGGAGTTTGATTCTCATAAAGTTAGGGAGCTCGATCAAGATTAATCCACCTGGTAATCATGTTTGTCTCAGATTGCCTCAGTATTTTCTGTCAAAATTCATCTCAGGCACTTTGCAGAGCAGCATTGTACATGTGCTATAGGGTGATGGGGAAGTCATGCCTTGATAATGAGACAAATGTCTGTTGTGGCTTGCAGATGCTTTTGAGCTTGCTCAGTTCATAAGCTAAATCTTCTTGATCACCAGAGAAGATGTACTTATCCCCCAAGGCTATAGTCAGGTAATTAAAGAGATCTAATTATCATGCATAAAATCATTTGCATTTTGTCTTTTCTCTGCACCTGTTAACTCAGATGCATCCTCTATAACCTTACCGAGGATATTTTGACTGATTTTTTAAACCTTCAGTCAGTGGCATTTATTGTAAAGGAATTGCAAAAGATGATTGACTGATTGCAAGATGGATTGTCTAGATTCAAAGGCAGATACTGAGTGATTGAGTTAGAAGGCACACAGAGAAACCCAAGTAGTAAGTCTCAACTTAAAAAAAAAATTTTTTTCTTTTAACTGTGTGCCTGTTAACAATTGGAGGTGGCAGCTGATGCAGATGGAGGGCAGGGAGCAGCAATTGCAAGAAGCAGCCTGTAACTGAGCCAGTGGGCACAAACTGCTTAGAAGCAGATTAACAAACTGTCAAATGATCAGCTCCCACATCACAACTGACGAACAGGACACAAGCTAGACTGGCTGGTGAATGTGCATTTCTGCTTATTTGTTGCTGTTCTGCACTTTGTTCTGCATGTTTCTGTTGTTGTTGTTCAGTCGCACAGTCGAGTCTGATTCTTTGCGACCCGATGGACCACATTACACCAGGCCCTCCCGGCTTCCATCGTGCTCCGGAGTTTGCATAATTTCATGTTCGTTTCCTTGATAACACTGTCTAACCATCTCATCCTTTGCTGTCCCCTTCTTCTTTGACCTTCAATCTTTCCTGGGAAAGATCAGGGTCTTCTCCAGTGAGTGCTCCCTTCTCATTTGGTAGTCAAAGTATTTGAGCTTCAGCTTCAGTATCTGGCCTTCCAGGGAACAGTCAAGGTTGATTTCTTTTAGGATTCACTGATTTGGTCTCCTTGCAGTCCAGGGGACTCTCAAGAGTCTTCTCCAGCACCATAATCCAAAAGAATCTATTCTTCCGCGCTCGGCTTTCCTTATAGTCCAGCTCTCGCAGTCATACATTACTACTGGGAATACCATTGCTTTGACCATACGGACTTTTGTTGGCAGGGTGATGTCTCTACTTTTTATCATGCTGTTTAGGTTCACCATCGCTTTCCTCCCAAGGAGTAGGCGTCTTTTAATTTCATGGCTGCTGTCACAGTCTGCCCTTGGATCCCAGGAACATGAAGTCTGTCACTGCTTCCATGACTTCTCCTTCTATTTGCCAAGGAGCAGAGGTCATTTCAGGGGGGATCGCGGAGGATTGCAGTTCCCACGGGTGAGGTACGGGGGGCGGGGCACATGACGAAGTCACGTCCCTGCTTCCGGCCGCCCCGCTTCCGGCCCTCATTCAGCCAGGAGGAGGCAGGAGAAGAGGGAGGGTAAGTTGCTTCCTCTCTGCCTCTCCCCACCCCTGCCTGCCTGGGGCCAGGGAGGGCCTTCGCGGGAGTTCCTTGCACTCCCGCCAGCCTTGCAGGTCCACCACCAGGCCCCTCATGGGGCTCGGCAGTGGAGCTGCAAGGCCGGCAGCGACGGCCGGGACCGTTGGGGGCAGGGTGTGTGGCCTTATGACACACTTCCGGTGATGCCAGGGGGTGTGGCATATGCTAATGAGTTATGCTAATGAGTTCCCCTAGCTCTTTTTCTATGAAACAACCCCTGCAAAGGAGTGACGGGGCCGGATGCCATGATCTTAGTTTTTTTGATGTTGAGTTTCAAGCCAACCTTTGTGCTCTCCTCTTTCACCCTGAACAAGAGGCTCTTGACGTCCTCTTCACTTTCTGCCATGTTTCTACAGCCCTACTAATTCTCTGCTAGGAACCCTTTTTATTTACTTGAAAGGAATATCTAAAACTTCTCTCTGGTCTTCCTCATTAACACCTGAGATGCCAAAATTTATGTACTTTTCTTGGTAGGCTATATGTATAAACACTAAAAAGTTTCCTCATGCCTTAATGTTTTATCTTTTTCTTTAATGCTGTGCTTTTATCTTAAAAATGTTTTCTATGTTTGATGGCTTTTATGAATCTGGAATTATTATTTTTACAAGTCAGGACCTGAAAGAAACTTGCAGGTGGACATGCCTTTGCTTCCTTCCCTCTCTCCCATTCTCCGTCAAAGTTCTCCCCTCTTTCCAGTCCCACCCGTTAGCCATCAATCTTCCCTCACCCCTCTATGTCAGACTCCCCCCTTTCTTTCCCCCCTTCTCTAGAAATCATTCCTTATCTCCTTTCTCCCCTCACCCCTTGTATGTTAATCTTCCCGCACTTACCTCCCAGCTGTTCTCAATGTCCCCCTCTTTCCCCCACCCTTTTTCAATCTGCCCCCTCCTTCTCTCCCCTCCTCCCTCTACTTCTCTTCCCCTCCCTCAGACAATCCCATTTTCTCTTTCTCTCCCCCCACAGACAACCCCCCTTTTTTCTTTTTCTCTGCCCCTCCTATAAACAATCCCCCTTCTTTCTCTTCTCTCCCTCTGCAAACAATCCCCCTCTTTCTCTTTCTCCCCCTGCCTCAGACCATCCTTCCTTCTCTCTGTTTCTCTCCCCCCCAGATATCTTTTCCCTAGCTTGGGAGCTGCTGCAGGGCCCTTGGGAGGCACCATGGCTGTGACCTGTTTATCAAGAGCTGCAGCAACTGCAACAGTTGACACTATGCTGAGACTTAAAAAATATATCTCCCCCCCCCCCTTTTAGTGTTTTTAACATCCAGTCTGATTAAGAATTCTGGAGAACTCCAAAATTTTCACACTGTTTGTTTGTTTGTTCATTTTGGTTGATCCTAAGCAAAGGAATTGCATAATTTTGGATTTGGATTTTCCTAAGAGGTGTCCTCAGTTTTATATACTTCCAAAAGCAACATTCTGGAAAGTGTTCAGACCAGACGGGTGTATGTGCTTGCTAGATGCTTGTTTGGCTCACAACCCTGAAACATGTCATCACTAATCTAATCACGACATAGAAAAAAAATGTTTCCATACAAACCTTCAGAAATATGTCTGGTAAGCGTAGCAGCTGCAAAAGAGGAGCTATACTATATTGAAGTGTATATGAAGGTCCCAAGGCAAAAAGCATCTTAACTTTTGAAGCAAGTTGGGGCAGTACAGAAAATGCAAACAGGGCTGGAAAAACAAGAAACACTTCATGGATGATGGAACAATATGATAGCTTTAAAACTAAAGTTAAGAGTGTTGATATTCAGTGCAAAAATTCTTTGTCTGTGAATGTAGGACACAAATCTGCACTCAGATTTTCAGACCGATGCATCAGCTAGTGACCATCCTGCTGTGCCAAAATCGGCATACCGCCACTAGCCAGGAGCTGTTTAAGAACTACAATATCCCATGCCCATCCTGATCTTTGGTGTACGGTAAACCTCACAATGTTTTCTCTCTGTTTCTACTGCCTTTGGTCTATGGTAATAAAGATGAGAGTACAAACATAGCCAACAACTGATAAAACATTCATCTTCTACATAAGTGTATGTTCTTCACATACCTATGGTGCTTCCCTCAGAATGGGCAACAAAATAGAATTGTTCCTGTCCAGTTTTCTGCAGAATAAAGTCTGTGAAGGCTGGAAGGTCATAGATAGCCATTTCATGAAAACTAAAAACAAAAACAAAACACACACACCAGTGAGTATGAAGTACATTTCTGGGCTTTCTTCAGACACTTGGTGCTTTGTGGAGACCAAAATGTCTGAAGGAAGCCATGTGATGCCAAGGGAAAATCCTGCTATCCCGTTGTCGGGATGTGAAGACCGCTTAATCATTCTGTTATGTTTATATGATTACTTGTTGCTTTGTGAAGACCAAAGTAATCACAGAAACACAACAGACAAAATGATTAAGTGGTCTTCATATCCCTATAGTGGGATAGCAGGTTTTTTCTTGGCATTGCATGTCTTGTGGTTGGAATAAATTAGATTAAGGTGACAATCGAATGAGAACATGTTGATCAGTTTTATAGAATCACAACACAGTCAAGATGTAAAGCTTACCCTAGACTATAATATATTAGGTTACAAGAGATACTGAGTTGGATGCATGCTTCAAAAAACAAAAACAAAAACCATCCATGCACATAGAAAAATAGCACATCAGGAACATGGTATTAATCTGATCCTCTCTCTTTCATATGTTTCTTTTGTAGGCCCAGACAACATTTCTGTGGTAGAACACTCTCCAGCACAAGTCTCTATCCCCTTTACTTAACAGATTCCTAAATTCCTACAGCATAGAAATAATTACCTCTATGTTTTGCTGACTGAATGAAGTGGCACATTGTCCAATAAATTAAATGTTACTAGATTTGTACTTCAGAATGTTTGAAGGGGGAAAGTTTCTGTACTGGAAGAAGATATGGTCAAGGTAGCCATCTGCCTGTAGAACTTGTGGACTCTCTTTCCATATATAAAACTACAGAAGAATGCCACTCAGGCTGATGATGACATAACAAGACAACTGTGAAGCGGTAATTGGGTGGATGCTGTGGTCATCACTGCACCTCCTCACCCTACTCCCAAACTGCCATGCAAGCATCCAAAATACTACACATAACAAGTGGAATTTACAAGCAGATAAGCTCTGTTTGCACAAACTCTGCTCTGCAAAAGTGCACAATACAGATCGTGCACACTTAGTTTATACTTAATAGGCTATGTAGAAAAGATGTAATCCAGACTCTCTTTTCCTCTGTAGTTCCATTAGCAATGGAATCTAGTCAACTGAACAACTGGTCAATTAAAACCATAGAGTTACCACAGAGTTTCTGGCAATTCCTAGAAAAACATGACATCACTTTCCCAAGAAGTGGACACACTGTTGCCGATAGCTTCCCCCTCCCCCATGCCCCTTCCTCCCCATTCTCCTGTTGGCAACCACAGTGCTAACCTATGGAACTTTTTAAAGGCGGGGAGGAGTCTTCTTTGTTGTCTGCATGACCAATGGGCATAAATGGGGGGGACTGGGAATTCATGGACCATGTTTCTATTTCCTTATCAATTCTCCTACAGGTAAGATTTTAGTCCAAAGACCTGGGGAGGGGAGGAGAGATGAAGACTTGATCACAAAATGTATCCTAATAATGATTTCATGCTCATTACTATAAAGCTGCCTTTTGAGTCAGACTATTATTCTATCAAGCTTACTATTGCCCTCTCTAACTGGCACCAGCTCCCCAGGATATCAAGCAGAGTTTTCACAGAACCCCAGGGCCTATCACAGAAGAACATGCTTTGGATGAAAGAGAGAGTTACCATAATAAGAACATAAGAACATAAGAGATGCCAATGTTGGATCAGGCCAAAGGCCCATCCAGTCCAACACTCTGTATCACACAGTGGCCAGAAATACCTGTGCCATCAGGAGGTCCACCAGTGGGGCCATGACATTAGAAGCCCTCCCACTGTTGACCCCCCCAAGCACCAAGAACACAGCATCACTTGCCCCAGAGTCCCTATCTATGCCTTGTGGCTAATAGCCACTGATGGACCTCTGCTCACTTGCCCCAGCATCACTTGCCCCAATAATGATTCATTGAATGCCAGGAAGGCTGCGTGCAAAACCCGTGGTCCTTGTAACAATAGCAACTGGGTATGTTACTTTTATTCACTATTTTACGATTGTATGATTTAATGGCATGGCCTTCTATCCCACTCTTCCTTCAAAGAACTCAGGGTAGCATCCTTGGCTCCACCATCCTTCATTTTGTGTCCTCAGAAAAACACCAGAAGGAAAGCTGGGCTGAAAGGGAGTTACCAGCACAAGATCACCCCGGTGAGCTTCAGGGCAGAGTATGGCTTTGACCCTGAGTCTTTGTGTTTGACATTCTAGGTGCCTGTTTGACATTCTAGGTGCCTAGTTTAATGCAGGGGGGGAGTTTGATGCACGCAGTCTCTCCATCAATCGAGTAACATATCTGCAAAGAAAATTTGAGTTCTTTCACATTTACGTTGGATTTGCATAGCTATAAAAAGAAATTGCAAGGGGAATCTTTTTAACTCCTAGACTTGTATGGGCATATGGACTATTTTGCACAAATAAAGAGCTGTTTTAATGAATGAAAAACAATCTCACATAAATGACATTAACCTCCCCTGCAGCTGCCTTGAATTCTTGAATTCTATATCTTAGTAATTTTACACCAAATAAACTTACCTAAAATCCCAAAATTCTTGTTGGTCAATAGTAAAGTGTTCATGTCTTCTAGACCATGTATTCCCTCTGTTATTGCCAATCCACACATCATATCCTGCATCAGCTAAGATGAAGCCTAGACTATTATGGGACAGGTTTTCTACCCAGCCACCACCCTCTTTAATCAGGGCATGTATCATCAATACAGCAGCCTTTGATCCTGAAAAATAAAGAAGAAGAGAAGAGATTGGATTTATAACCTGCCCTTCACTACCCAAAGGTGTCTCAGAGTGGTTTGCAAACTCCTTTCCCTTCCCCTCCCCACAACAGACACCCTGTGAGGTAGGTGGGGCTGAGAGAGCTCTGACAGAAACTGCTCTTTTTCAAGAACAGCTCTTATCAGAACTACGGCTTGCCCAAGGTCATCCAGCCAGGTGCAAGTGGAGGAGTGGGGAATCAAACTCGGTTCTCCCAGATTAGAGTCCGCGCACTTAACCACTACACCAAATAAAATTAATATCTCTGCAATGCGCACTATGGACCATTGCAGAGTAGTTAGAAGGTTGGGTTTGGAGGATGTGAGAAAGCTTAAGGCAAGATAAATGTTACCAACCCACCCACCCTCCCCAAAAAGCAAAAGCAACTAAAAGCCCAACACCCCATTTTCTTATTTTATCTTCAGGAAAACAATTTCAGGAGGATAATTTGGAACAGGAAAGCAAGTTGTGTGTCTATGCTAAACTCTTCTACCACCCCACAGATTCTCCCACCTGCTCACTCCCCCCATAAATAATTTCATAGTGGTATAAAAGAGGCAATTTTGGCAGGTGGAGCTTTCTTGGAATCAGGTCACTGTGGCATAAATTTTAAGCCCAGAAGGGTTCAGAAACAGAAGCCAGGGTGAAGAGAACAAAAGGAACTGAGTCATGTTGAACAGAAAATGTGACTCTAGTAATAAGACAAAGGAAATGCAGAAGTAGCTGAGAAACAGTTGAGAAAGGCAGATATAAATCAGTTCTGCACAGATACAGATACACTGAGATTTGGAAATGTGGAATGTCCAGCTCAGCATCTGGTCTCACAGCTAGGAGACAACAGACATGTAAAATATTTACTTTCCTTTTGAGCTGTTTCTCTCTGCACTAGGAGTATCTTCTACATGAAGGATTTTGCTCTGGTTTGGCATCCAACTAGGAGCAAAGTTTTTGGCACATCCACACAATGTCATCCTCTAATTATCTCCTGGTCATCAGTACCAGGGTTGGTCTTAGCCAAGATGCATCCAGTGCGGCTGTCATGAGCCCCCAGCTGGGCAGGCCCCCAGCCACCCCTGACCTTACCCCTTCCCTGACAGAGGGGAAGGAAAAGAGCTGGCAATGGCCACACACACACTGCCCCCTGGAACATGGGTAGGCAGGCAGCAACTGTCTGGCTTGGCTGCCCCAAACACATATCCCCTACCCCATCCAGGGCTAGGGAAGATGGGTGGCAGCTGGCTGGCTCAGCAATTACCATGTGCCCACCCACCCCCAGGCATCAAATAGGAGGTCATAAGCTGGCTGACCCAGTGGTGCCATGTGTGCCTACCCGTTGCCCCTTCCAAAGGCAGGAGGAGGAGGCGAACGTTGGATTTATACCCCACCCATCACTACCCAAAGGACTCTCTGAGCAGTTTACAGTTTTCTTTCCCTTCCCCCCCACAACAGACACCTTGTGAGGTAGGTGTGGCTGAGAGAGCTCTTTCAAGGACAGCTAATGAGAGAACAGCTCTGAAAGAACTTGTAACTGACCAAAGGCCACACCAGCAGCTGCATGCGGAGGAGTGGGGAATCAAATCTGGTTCTCCCAGATTAGAGTCTGCGCTCCTAATCACCACACCAAACTGGCTCTCAGTTTGTGGGCAGTAGCAGCTGGATCAGTGGCTATCAGGGAAGCCCACCCCACAGGACATAGGTAAGAGCTGGCTTGGCTGCCACCAGGCATACCCACCCACCTGGAATGGAGTGACCTCTTTCAGCCTGGAGTGGCTAAGGCAGGTGAGCCCCATGATTCCAACACCTCATCCTGGACATTTGCCCAGAACTTCAGAATCGCAAAGATTGCCCCTAACCAGTACAGCTCAAAAACATTATAACAATCTATTGCCATGAACCACTAGCTCCTCTGAATTCCCAGCTTCCTTTAAAAACAATGAACTATGCAGGACACTGAAACGAAACACTAGAAACATTATGCAGTCACAATGAGATTTCAGATGATACTGCCAACACATTCTCCAATATACATTTTCAGCCAGCTGGATCATGTAAAAAACAAATACCCAAAAGGTAAAATCCTGTGCCAAGGACCATGCATGTGCCAAGACACAAAGAACTACACAGCTAAGTTGCTAAGCCTAAGGAAAGTTTCAGGTTGTGGTTTTCAAAAAGCACCTGCCTGAAGAGTTGCCTTTGAAACTGCAGGGACTTGCAAAAGCCATTTACTTAATGGATCTATGGTTGAAAAATTGTTCTGAGCATTCCCAGTTCCTCGGGCATGACTAAGGTAGGTCTTGTCTCTGTGCCTTTTCCTTTCCTCTTTTGTTTTTGCCTTCCTGAAGAATCACTGCTCATGTAAAATACAGCATCACATTATGTTTTTGTAAAGAACAACAATTCTACCGTATAGTTCCATTTTATCCCCTTTACCTCCTGGAATTCTGTTTAGGCTCAGGTAATACCCATCTGCTGTAAGCACTTCATATTCTTCAGAGGGATATCCCCAGTACTGAATTTTCTCACTCTGTAAGGATACCAAAACAAACATTAGGCCAACATTTTTCAGCAAAGTTATAAAGCAGATGTTGGAAGCTGAGAAGTTCCTCCAAATGTGCCGTTCACAATGTAGTGAAATCATTGTCTGAGTTCAATCTAACCTCCTGTTGCAATAAAGGTGGCAACTTCCACTTAGATATTTAGAGACCACAAGTAGGCTACATCAAAGTTCACTACCAAAAGTAGACAACACCAGAACTAGAAATTATCCAGTATCTCTCTAGATCCATCCATTCACATGCTGGAGAATACCTGTGCCAGAAATATATACCCTTCATGGTACACTGTTACACAAGCCACACTGAAAGTAATGCAAATATCACTTTTTGCGGCAGCTCAAGGAAATATAGGCACATATAAGGATATATGATGAGCATTTGCCCTCAAAAAAGAGTAATTATGCTCAAAATATATTGTGTGTTCTTTTAAAAGGCATATTTCAACAGTGCCTGTTTGAAGGTCTCCAACGTTATATTCCTCATGTGAGCAGAGACTAAAGAAATCAGCTGCGAGTCCAGGAAATAATGTAGACAGGAAACTTTACTGCGGGAGAAATCAGCTGCGAGTCCAGGAAATAATGTAGACAGGAAACTTTACTGCGGGAGAAATCAGCTGCGAGTCCAGGAAATAATGTAGACAGGAAACTTTACTGCGGGAGAAATCAGCTGCGAGTCCCGCACTAAACATCCGTGTGACCACGACCTAATAGAGCTTTAAAAATGCACAATAGACCTCATAACATACCCTGGGGGAAAGTATTTAATTATTTAGAATTCATTCTTTTCATGGCTGATGGTTTTATAATATTTATTAGGGCAGTGGAAGGGGAGAAAACCCACAATCCAGGGTTTCCTAAATTACGTTGAATGAAAATCATGTGAATAAACTGAAATGGACTTTTTAAATACTCTTACAAATGATAATCATCCTAAGAAAATAAGATACATTCAGTAACATGTGTCCTTGAGTATATTCTACCACCACCAAGGGACAGTATTTTTTGTTATTAAATGCCCCATAGTCCACAATTCTTTTTGTACATATGCGAGACATGAATATAGATTCCATGTCTGACAGTGATTGCTAATAGACTATGCTTTGTTAAATGATTATACATCTGCTTCTAAGTCTGCGGGGTGAAAAAAGGCTTGTTAACTGTCACTGTCTCAAACATCCTGTGTATTAAGCAACTTAGTATTGATAATTTCCTGAGCCATGTTTAGAAATCGAGAATGCCTGTGAGAATATGTGAAAAGCTAAAGTCGGCTGAAGATCAAGGAACCCACCCTCTGAAGGAATGGCACCAGTTCCTGCGAATTCCCAAATATATGACTGAAGGGCCATTTATGTGACCCGGGTCTTGGCACAATTAGATACTCATGCAGAGTATCCAGCACTTGATCCATGGTACAATGGAAGGAGTCAAGTTCAGATGTAGAATTTCAAGAAATTTCAAAGCCATGAAGAAAAAGAAAAATTCCTAGTATTCTGTTCTGTTTTGGGCAAAAAAGAAAGGATAGGAGGGGATCGAAACATATGCAGTCTTTAGTCTCCTATCAAACCTAAACCTATTTTGCTGCTTAAAAATAAAATGCATCATTTAGAACTTAGTTAGCATATCAAATTGTATTAATGGACACATTTATGGAACAGAGTTTAAATACCTTAGCTGTCGACAAACCAAGCAGCGAACACACTCCGTGCTAAGGTAAAGGCACCGTTAAGACCAACAAGGTTTAATTCTAGGTATTTCATGAGCATGCACACTTCATCACTCTTTGTTTTATTGCTTCAGAGCAACACGGCTCTGAGTTTTTGTTTTATTGCTTCAGATCAACACGGCTCCCCAACAGAACAATGCTAAGGTATGAGAGACATGCAAATTGTTGTGCTTCAGCACATTTTAAAAGAAAAAAAATCCTATGAGTTTTTTTCCATCACTTCTTCACATTTCCCTCTAATGCTAAAAAGCATGTCACTAAATGGGAGAACAATCAGAGGAATTTTTTTCACTGCTCTTCCAAATTTTTCAAATCAGGTAAAGTCCTCCAAAACTGGAGATAAACCCTGCTTCTCCCCATCCCCAAGTTTAGCCAGGCCATTATACCTCTAAGCTGAAGCTGTTCTTCCATAATACTTATAACACCACGGCTCTTTTTGAGGGTATGAACCAAGGCTAAGTTATCGATACTGCTACTGTCTCTCTTTGTTTAAGCACCCTGTAATACTTACAATATTCATAAACTGTTCAGGATTCATTTCTGTTCTACTTTTGACTTCTTCTGGACTCACAGTTCCTTGCACAGCCATCATGATGAGCAGTAGCCACATGTTGGAATATATGCAAAATAACAAACTATTTTAGATATCAAAAGAGGTTTATCTTATAGTTGGGATTCTGCCAGAGTTCCACGAGGCAATGATCTCTCTTCCAATTCACATGCAGCGGAAGCACCTGAGTGAAGGACAGAAAGAAGAATCAGGGCTAACCTTAAACTGACCTTCAAAAAGAGATGCTATCTTTGGAAAGTTGTTTTCTTGTACAACCATTATTAAATGCTAGTGCTTAGGTGGCTCTAAAGGATCATGTAACTGGTTTTCCTGCCTGCACATGTGCTTTGAACTCTGTTTCTCAAAGGGTCCACCTTGGCTCAAAGCAAGTCACCTTTACCAGTGACTCCTTCAAATGTCAAGTTAATGACAAGTTAAATGGCATGCAGTTCACAGAAAAATGAGCGATACCAGCATGCCTAAAGCAACTCGTTTGATCGCAGCCTTCTGGCTGTGATCATAATCACATTGCAGATATCATCACAAATTTATTTTAATGGACACTATCACAACTGGAGTAGATACAGATGGGCAGGCAGAGAAACAGCCCCTACCTTCTACCTTCCCTTCCATTCCGTCTCCACTCTTGAGTGTCCAAAAGCAGGAACAATCAGGTACCCACCCACCCCCCAAAATGTAGTCAATCTAGCAGAGCACAGGCAGGTGCGTGCAGCCCTGCCTCTCAAATCCCATGTTGTCGCGATGCACCTCCCAATCTCATACAATCAAAGACATTCATCAACTTGTAGCTTGGGGGGAACAAACTTTATCTACAATAAGGGAGGGGGGAGAGAGCGAGAGAGAGAGAGAGATTTCAAATAAGGTGTCTGAGAAGCCAAAGATGGGGGGAGGAAATCACAGGAAATGACAACCCTAAGGTTCTTCTGCCAGGAGATTAGAGAGAGACTCTGTTGCTGTTGATCTAATCCAACTACAGTCATGTGAGATACAACATACCGTACCCTCAGCAAGCCTAGAAGCCTCACCATAGGCTGAAAGAGAGAAGTATCTCCACTCCCTCCTGCCCCCAAAGAACTGTGGCTATTTCCCTCATGGGGTGGCATCCAGCCACCTCTTCTGCTCTGTTTCACCTAATTCTGCTCCTTACCGCAGCCCCTTTCCCAAGTGGCTTTTGTTTCTTGTCATGGACGTAGCCAGACGTATAGGGGAGCAATTGCTGGCCTGTGCAAGCCAGAGACGCTGAGCGCCCAAGGCCGGGGCACCCATCCAGAGCCTCTGTCTAGAACTCATTGTATTTATTTCCACAGTGGGCCTTATTCCTAGATTTAAAATAAAATTATTTTAAAAGATTCTGTTCCAAATACCATATGTACTTGCCAAGATCTGCACAGTTAGTTTTAAGATATTAAGGATAATTTCAGCTTCAGTTTGTTAAAATGTATCTGCATGACACGTTGCTCTAGAAACTGCAGGGTATTGCAAAAGCTATTTGAATTATGAAACTATGGTTTCTGTCAAGACTCCCCCCCAAACCCACAACCTAAAGTAGTCCCTTGGCCTCTCTACATTTTTTAACATTCCTGAAGTTTCACAGCATACATATAGCTCTTCCTTCATATTTCACTATGAGAGTGAAGTCAAAAGCAGTGCTTCGTATCATCTCTCTATATAATAATTCTGTTTTGGTCATCGACTCTCCTGAACATTCCACATGCTCCCAAATCAGTTGGCTCCCTGATCTGTCACTCAGAAGCTGTCCCTATCCACTGGCTGCATTGCCTGAGTCTAGCCTCCAATATTCTAAACAGTTTGCTGTTCCTCTCCCCCCAGTAGCCAGTCAGAACACAGAGGTCATTTGCATATGCGGCCTGACTGGACTTTGCCTCTAACATTCTAAACAGTTTGCTGTTGTTGTTGGGAGTCATTGAATGTGTCCTGAGGTAAAATACATACCCCAATTTTCCCTTAAACAGTCACTGGAGTTACCAGTCTCCCTTTTGGGCCTGGAGATCTCCCAGAAATCACCGTGTTACCCAGCCACAGCACATCATTTCCCCTGCAGAAAATTTTCCAGCTATTACAATGGCTGCTTTGGGCAGTGGACTCTATGGCACTACCCTGCTGAAGTCCCTCCGCTCCCCAAACCCTGCCCTCCCCAGGCTCTACCCCTCAAATCTACAGATCTGGCCCTCCCCTTAGTATTGCCAGCCCCCAGGCAGCACCTGGAGATCTCCCAGATCAGTTCTCCTGGAGAAAATGGCTGCTTTGGGCTTTATACCCTGCTGAGGTCTCTCTGCACCCCAAACCCTGCCCTCCTGAGGCTCTACCCCTAAAATCTACAGGTATTTCCCAACCCAGAGTTGGCAACCTTGTAACTGGCTTTCCAGACCCTTGGAACCCAGAAGACATGGCATAGGAGGAGGTACTTTTCTACCTTAGCTGCCACTGCATAGCCCCAGATCAACATAAGTCAGGGGTGGAGGGAACCATACCTGTTACCATGAGGCTGTCCTCCCATACTACCCACTTCGGGCAGCAAAATAACTTGAGACAGCCCTGTCTTATATCTAAGCAGAAGGAAATAAGCATGGCGTGCCTCCCTCTATTTTCCCCTTTCCTCTGCCGCCCCACCAGCCACAGTCGGGGACACTCACCTTGAGCTTCCTTCTAGAGCTCATTGTATTTCTTCCCACAACAGGCCTTACTCTTAGTACATAAATAATGACAATAGACTTGCAGTGTTTCTAAATTTTCTTTTACCTCCAGGAATTCTCTTTCGGCTCAGGTAATACCCATCTGCTGTAAGCACTTCACCAGTGGGGCCAGGACATTAGACGCCCTCCCACTGTTGCCCCCCCCAAGCACAAAAAAGACAGAGCATCACTTGCCCCAGAGCCCCTATCTATACCTTGTGGCTAATAGCCACTGATGGACCTCTGCTCCATATGCCTATCTAATTCCCTTTTGAAGCCGTCCATGCTTGTAGCCGCCACCACTTCCTGTGGCAGTGAATTCCATGTGTTAATCACTCTTTGGGTGAAGAAGTACTTCCTCTTATCCGTTCTAACCCCCTCAGTCGTCTTTTCTCCAAGCTAAAGAGCCCTAAGCGCCTTAACCGTTCCTCATAGGGAAAGTGTTCCAACCCTTTTATCATTCGAGTTGCTCTTTTCTGCACTTTTTCCAAAGCTATAATATCCTTTTTAAGGTGTGGTGACCAGAATTGCACACAGTATTCCAGATGAGGTCGCACCATTGATTTATATAGCGGCATTATGATATTGGCTGATCTGTTTACAATACCCTTCCTAATAATCCCCAGCATAGCATTGGCCTTCTTTATTGCAGTCACACACTGTCTCGACATTTTCAGTGAGTTATCCACTACAACTCCAAGATCTCTCTCTTGCTCAGTCTCTGCCAGTTCAGACCCCATCAATGTGTATTTATATTTAGGATTTTTGGCTCCAATGTGCATCACCTTGCACTTGGCCACATTGAACCCCATTTGCCATGTTGACGCCCACTTGCCCATCTTTGACAGATCCCTTTGGAGTGCCTCACAATCCTCACTGGTTTTCACCACCCTGAACAACTTCGTATCATCCGCAAATTTAGCCACTTCACTGCTTACTCCCAACTCCAAATCATTAATGAACAAGTTAAAAAGCAGTGGACCAAGTACTGATCCCTGTGGTACCCCACTGCTTACCCCCCTCCACTGGGAGAACTGCCCATTTATACTCACTCTCTGTTTTCTATTAATTAGCCAGTTTTTGATCCATAAAAGGACTTGTCCTTTTATCCCATGATTTTTGAGCTTGCTTAGGAGCCTTTGATGAGGAACTTTATCAAAAGCTTTCTGGAAGTCAAGGTAAATAATATCTATTGGATCCCCCTTGTCCACATGTTTGTTCACCCCCTCAAAGAACATTAACAGGTTAGTGAGACAAGATCTTCCCTTACAGAACCCATGTTGAGTCTGCCTCAATAGGTTTTGTTCATCTATGTGCCTACTAATTCTTTCCTTAATAATGGTTTCCACCAATTTACCCGGTATCGACGTCAGACTGACTGGCCTGTAATTTCCCGGATCTCCTCTGGAACCCTTTTTAAAGATGGGAGTGACATTAGCTAAATTCCAGTCCTCAGGAATGGAGGCAGATTTTAAGGAAAGATTACATATTTTTGTCAGGAGATCCACAAGTTCACATTTGAGTTCTTTCAGAACTCTCAGATGTATACCATCTGGGCCTGGTGATTTATCAGTTTTTAAGTTGTCTATCAATTTTAGGACCTCCTCTCTCGTCACCTCAATCTGGCTCAGGTCTTTCAACACCCCTCCCGAAATCAGCGGTTCTGGAGTGGGCAAGCACTTCTCATCTTCCACAGTAAAGACAGAGGCAAAAAATGCATTTAGCTTCTCAGCCATTTCCCTATCATCCTTCAGTACTCCTTTTACCCCTTGGTCATCCAAGGGCCCCACTGCCTCCCTGGCTGGTTTCAAACAAGCTCTTATTTTTATAGTTCTCTAACCATCACTAGAGGTATCCTGACAAATACCATTATAACCATAACAATTCCTCTTCGCACCTTCAAAACTTTTTATGTTCTACTCATTGTTCCTTACACAAATTTTAGAGGGGAATTATAATTGTATACAATAAAATCTAGCCAATTTTATCAGGTCTAGGCTGGAATTAGTTAAGAGATCGCATCAGAAGTTTGAATGTGCAGGTTTTAATGCCTCTAGTGTTAAAGCAAAAAGAAATGCTTCACCATTATTCTCATACATATTTACACCATGTACTTTCCAACCAATAAATACATTTCAGAGTCTTTTAATTAACCTCTTTTGTAAACAATAACTTGAGTTGTTCAACTGACATTCTAACACTGTCAGCTGAGAACAACTTTTATGATACATGTGTTTTAGTCCTTGTTTTATATACATAGGGATGCTAGAAGAGTTAGTATCACTGAACACTGAATGTGGGACACAGTGGGTATTTCTACTAGCCAAAG